GTGATGTATTCAAAAAGTAAATCTATCACAACTTAGAATCATAACTACACAGCAGGGCACTTCTATGATCCCAAATAAATATTTATATTTGTTCTGTAATTCACAGGAAATATGGTTTCTCCCATTTTCTTTCAAAAAAGTGAGAGCTAAAAGTCCACAATCATAAAATGTAAATATCTGAAATTAGGTTTCTTTTAATATTAAGCATATTCCTAAAGGGACACTATATATCCGCAGATGTCTTAAAATACAAATGTTTTAATTAGCATCATTGCAACATTCAATGACTTGGTGCTCACAGAGAATTGTTCATTTTTTGGACCTTTAAAAAGTATCTGTTCCTCTCTCAAATAGCTAAAATCAACCAGGGGTGAAATCCAGCAGCTTCTGACAGGTTCTGGAGAACAGGTAGTGGAAATTTTGAGTAGTTTGGAGAACTGGCAAATACCACCTCTAGCTGGCCCCAGAGGGGGTAGGAATGGGGATTTTGCAGTATCCTTCCCCTGGAGTGGGGTGGGAATGTAGATTTTGCAGTATCCTTTCCCTGCCATGCCCACCAAGCCATGCCACATCCACCAAGCCACACCCACAGAATCGGTATTTTAAAAAATACATATATATCTTTGGTTATTCGGGTCTTTTCCCGCATAAAATTGGAAGTGTCTTGGCGACATTTTGACGAAGTCTCATTCTACATACTAATACCCGCGAAAACCTCAGAAAACAAATATATATATGCTTTGCTCCTAGAAGCACGAAACACGAAGCCGAAAACACCAGCCTGAAGATGACGAATGAGACTTCGTCGAAACGTCGCCAAGACACTTCCAATTTTACGCGGGAAAAGACCCGAATAACCAAAGACCTACACACACATACACACACACACACACGTGTGTGTGTGTGTGTGTGTGTGTGTGTATAACAGGTATCAATATAAATTATATAAGTGTGAATAACTGCAATCCCCTTTCTTTTAAAGCATTCTATACCTCCATCCCCAGTACAGGTGAATAGACATTTATGAGACTTTCAAAAATATTTGAGTGTCTGATAAATGACCTAGGTGATAAATGACCTATGTTGTCCTGCAATCATAATTATATAAATTGTTTGTATGTGTTCCTGCCATGAACACAATTAATACTTACAGATTGTATCAAACTACTATGTGGAATTGTTTATATCCCAAAATGCCATTATGTGTTCTTCATTAATATGTTAGCTCAGAGATGATGATATAGATATATAGATAGATATGCACACCAATGTCTTGGAATAAAAGATGCTGAGTTCTGGGGGAGGCATGGTGCACTGAAGACATCTCTGCCGAAGCAGAGCCAATGACCAAAGAACTGATCTATTCTACAGTTCTTCAGAACTTCTGCAGACAAGGAATGGACAGGAGATTGTCCACATGTGCTCCAAATGGTTGCTCCTCTCAAGGAGATCACAGGAGAGCACTTTGCTGGTTTGAGTGTTGGGAGATGAAGGTATTAGCCATTTTGCTTGTCACTATGATGGAACCTTTAAAGTTTGCAAGCCTCATTTTCAGAAATTGCCTATTAATCATCTTAAAACTATTTGGAGCTCTTCAGAATGACAAGTTTGAAAAGTTACTGGGTGAGTTTAATTATAAGCTTAAGAACTTGAAAGAATTTAAAATGAACCACAAAAAGTTAAATGAGATTTTCACCTAAGAAAGTTATAAATGGATTAAGTTAAATTTGGAATATTGATTTTTTCTATAAGATTTTGGGATTAACTGTAAAAATATAGTTTCTTGTGGGAACCGGACTTATTTTTGCTATCAAGTTCATAACATAGACAAGTGACTTTATGATTTTATACACTAGTCACTAGAGGGCACTAAAGATTCTAAATAGAGGGGGAAAAATACAAGCCAGTACAAAATACCATCGACCATGGTATCATGCTGTACCGGCTGGAAGAGTTGGGTGTGGGAGGCACCGTGTTGCGGTGGTTCTCCTCCTTTCTCTCCGACTGGTCGCAGTTTGTGTTGCCAGGGGGGCAGAGGTTGACCTCGAGGCCTCTCATCTGTGGAGTGCTGCAGGGATCGGTCCTCTCGCCCCTTCTGTTCAACATTTATGTAAAGCCGCTGGGCGAGATCATCTGTGGCTTCGGGGTGAGATACCACCAGTACGCTGATGACACCTAGCTGTACATCTCCACCCCAGGCCACCCCAATGATGCCCTTGAAGTGATGTCCCAGTGCCTGGAGGCTGTGCGGATCTGGATGGGGAGGAACAGGCTCAAGCTCAACCCTTCCAAGACTGAATGGCTGTGGCTCCCGGCATCCCGATATAGTCAGTTGACTCCATCACTGACTATTGGGGGCGAGTCTTTGGCCCCCACAGAAAGGGCTCGCAATCTGGGAGTCCTCCTGGATATGCAGCTGTCCTTGGAGGAACATCTGACGGCTGTAACCAGGGGGACCTTTTATCAGGTTCGCCTGATTCGCCAGTTGCGGCCCTTTCTTGATCGGGATTCCCTGTGCACAGTCACTCATGCCCTCGTCACCTCTCGCCTTGACTATTGCAACGCTCTCTACATGGGGCTCCCCTTGAAGAGCACCCGGAGGCTCCAACTGGTCCAGAATGCAGCAGCGCGGGTAGTGACGGGAGCAGCATGGCGCTCCCATGTAACACCGCTCCTGAGCGAGCTGCACTGGCTCCCAGTGGTCTTCCGGGTGCGCTTCAAGGTGCTGGTTATCACCTTTAAAGCGCTCCATGGCATCGGGCCTAGCTATCTTCGAGACTGCCTGCTGCTACCAACGACCTCCCATCGTCCCGTGTGCTCCCACAGAGAGGGCCTCCTCAGGGTGCCATCAGCCAATCAATGTAGGCTGGTGACCCCCAGGGGGAGGGCCTTCTCTGTGGGGGCACCTACCCTCTGGAATCAGTTGCCCCCAGAGATAAGGAGAATCCAAGACCTCGGTGCCTTCTGCCGTGCCCTTAAAACCCACTTTTTCCAGCAAGCCGGGCTGGCTTAAGAAGAAATTTTAAATGTTTTAATTGGTTTGTATTTTTAATTTTGGGCCAAATTTATATATATATTAATTGTTTTTTAATATTTGTATTTTATGTTTTTTAATTCTGGCTGTACACCGCCCTGAGTCCTCAGGGAGAAGGGCGGTATATAAATTTAAAATAAATAAATAAATAAATTAAAAAATAAATTAAAAAAAAGGACACAAAATGTAATAACCTTAAATAACCTTTAGTGTAATATTAAAGGAGATCTTTGAAAAATGGAGCCAGAAATGATCAGCGACAGCATCAACAGTGTCAGTTATAATGTGACTCTATGGATAAAGTATGTCCAAATGATGTTAATGAGGGAATGATAAAACAGAAAGTACCAAAATTGAAATCATAAATGACAGACCAAGAGAATGATTGGAAAAGGATGCTTGACATTACAGTATACAAAATAAACTGACTGAGGTTTTAAAAATTAAAGGGAAAATACAGATGACAAACCAAGAGAGTGATGGCCTGAAAAAATGTTTTCTTATTGGAGGCTTGTCACAGCCTTGAAAAAAAATCTGTGTGATGAGATAAAGAAGAATTGAAATCAAATTCTATGCTAGTATTTGAGTGAATTAGAGATTAAAGTTGGTTTATCTAATCAAGATTAAAATAAGGTTTTAAAAAAAATGTTCTGGCAAACCTTTATGGATTTTTTCCTGACAACATTATTGAAAAGGCTGACTGGGCTATCATAACACTCAACATTTTATTGTTGCTGTTATTATTACTGTTGTTGTTGTCCTAGTATGGCATATTAGACAAACAATCTGGTAAGTAAGTTTATATAATATTGATTACAATTGTAGCTAAATGCTTCTTTATTTTGTAATTTTTTAAAATTCTATTGTTGGAAGAAATGTCCATCTGGGTTCAGTTCCAAGTGGGAAGAAAGACACTGGAAACATGGAGACCGTTTGGAAAAATGGTTTAATGATGGACAGGACCATGTGGTTTGAGGTCCTGGGCAAAAAGAGCACATGGATGAGAAAGGGAGAGAAATTTATACCGTCTGATGGGTTTTGAACTTGCTTCTTGTTCCTGTGCCAAGAAAGAGCCTGGTGGCGCAGCAGACTAATAGCCTGTTATTAACATTCAGCTGCCTGCAATTACTGCAAGTTCAAATCTCCCCAGGCTCAAGGTTGACTCAGCCTTCCATCCTTTCTAAGGTAGGTAAATTGAGGACCCAGTTTGTGGGGGCAATAAGCTGACTTTGTATAAATATACAAAAGTATGAAGGCTATTGCTTAACGCATTGTAAGCCACCCTGAGTCTCCAGAGAAGGGCGGCATATAAATCAAATTTTAAAAAAAAATGTATCCTGATTGGTTGTCAGACTCCTATGCTTGGTTGAATCTTGCTGGGTGATGTAATCTTCCCAGGTGCCATGTGGTGAGATGGGTAGAGGGCTAATCCTATTATGTCCTGAGGATGAAGGTCTTTTGTGTTGTAGATAAGATGGCCCAGCCTTTTGTCTTGTAAATAACCAAAGTATCTACTGGGGGCAGGGACCTGGGGCTGAGTTTCCGTCTTAAGATTTCTATTTCTCTTTTAGGGGAAATATTCTGCCTTTTTAATATTTCCTAGAATATTTCATTTTTCTAGGAGAAGGGTGGGTGCTAACTTCCTACACTACTTTGATGAAACTTGTGCCTCAGTCAAGGCAATTAGGTGTTATTTGAAACAACAAAGAGCTTTTTAAAAGTATAACAGTAGAATACATTAGAGAAAAGATGTAACAAATCTATTCAGTCTCCTCTTGCAATCCATAACATTGTTACAAATTAATACAGTTAAATTAAATATGATGGTAAACTCCCATGAGAATGATATATTGAAAACCAAGACAGAATTGTGTAAAAAAAATAATTTATCTTACTATCTATCAATTCACTGGACAACCTGTGCCCTTTCAGTCATAATTTCAGATATATTTCCTTCTTTAAACAGAGAGACAAAATGACCACAGATGTGAAAAAGAACAATAAGAGCAAGAGAAACTTCTGACTTCATGTCAACTTCCCGAATGAGTTCCATGATCAGAAACTGGCAGGGAACGCCAGTAACTTTTCTTCCTTCCTCATTGCCCCTTCTCTTCCCTTTTCAGCGGACAGTTAAGTGTCAGTTGCTGATTGGGGAAGGGAGCAAGCCGGGATTGCAAGATTGGCTGAAAAACTGCTACAGGATGTTGAAGATACGGATCAAGTGACTATAGCAGCAACCAGTAGTATTAAAACAGCCACAATTTCCCCAAATTTCAGAACCTCTGGATTCATGGGTCACCAATTATGGGCATAATCAGTAAATTAGCTCATTTGAAGTACCTTGGTTCGAAAATTGTCACCTAGTTAAAGGTCATGACAAGGCTTTTAATAGTATATAGATATCTTAATTAATCACAAGGAAATGGGCTGGATAATAAAAACAAAATGTCACAGCAAACGAATAGGAGCTCGTCATCTTTATATTTAATGGAGTCTGGGCCACTTGGGGAGGGGGGGAATTTGAGTCACCAGTCCCAAAGGCATCCATCATGATTACACCAAAAGGATAAAACATGGGTCATTGTGATGATATGAGACAAAGCTCCCCTCATTTGGACTTGTACAACATTCAAACCCATGATTGGCAATTTTTTGTCACAACACACATTTCTATCATTTTTTCCCTTCTCTCCCCCCTCAACTTATTCATGGACATCCAACACCACTCAATTTGTCAGTTTAGGAGATCCTATCCTTGACAATGCCATATTCTTCATAAAATGCATCTTAGTCAGTTTGTTGTGACCTAGGCTTACTGAGTCATTACAAGACGCAATTAGTCCCAAATAAACCTATTTTATTATAAGAGCTGAGAATTATGTTCATTCCCAGGTGAGTCCCAATTAGTTGCAAAACAAGTCCTTTGGAAGAAGTTCTTTGGGATAATCACCAACCTTTATCTTCTTTGACACCGTGCCAAAGGCCTTACTTGACAAAGCCCCACGAAGTTCAGAAACAAACAAGAGACGCTGACTGGAAACAGAGTTAGCAATGTTGCTTTCCTGCTGTAGGAAGTTAGCACCCACCCCTTTCCTGGAAGAGTGAAATATTTTAGGAAATATGAAAAAGGCAGAATGTTGTATTTCCCTGGATGAGAAATATGAGAAGCATATTTTACAGACAAAGCAGCTCCCACCTTCCTGCCCCCCACCCTTTGTCAATGGGCCATTAAGGCCTGGGCCAGTCTACTCTACATAACAAAGATCTGCCTCCTTCAGGCAGAGCCATAGTAGGAATTGCCAAAGATGGGATTAGCCCTCTACACAATAGCAACAGAAACTCACCACATGTGACCTGGGAAGCACATGTGACTATCAGCCAGCAAGGCCCCCACCCCCTGGGGGTTTGACAACCAATCAGGATACTCTTTCGGGGCCCCAAGAAATGCAGAGCCAGAGAGAGCATAAAAACCCGAGGATTTACTGTATCTGCCCTTTTCTGTTCAGGAACTCAAGCCATGTGATCCTGTCCACCATTAAACCATCTTTCCAAGCAGTCTCCATGTTTTCCCCACTTGGAGCAGAACCTAGAAGGATGTTTCTTCCAACACTGCAAAAAGCCCAAGAGCCTTTGTTTCTCTTTTAAGCCTTAGGGGAGGGGCCAATCATCTCCTGGCCTTACTCCCGAGTCATCCCTTTTGCTTTAGCTGCTCTTGCCTTCTGGCAGCTCTGCGCATGCGTGCACTACGAACTGCTGTTCCTCTGCCTCTTTGCTGTCCAACTCTGGGGACTCCAGAGTTCATGCATCACTCCCAGATGGCCCTGGCCCTATCTCTGCCTCTGACGCAGAGCCCTCATCCGGGCCTTCCCCAGACTCCAGGACTGTACCATGTTCCTCCCCAGCCTCCTCACTGTCCGACTCCACTGCCAGCTCCGCAGGCTGCTGGCAGACCACAACACAGTTAAAGTACACACCCATTACTGCATCAAAAAATTATTTCAAAATCACAGCATTTGGCAGTGTAGGAAGTTAGCACCCACCCCTCTCCTGGAAGAGTGAAATATTTTGGGAAATATGAAAAAGGCAGAATATTATATTTCCCTGGGATAAGCATGTTTTGAAGCAGCTCCCATCTTCCTGCCCCCACCCTTTGTCAATGGGCCATTAAGGCCTGGGCCAGTCTATTCTACATAACAAAGATCTACCTCCTTCAGGCAGAGCCATAGTAGGAATTGCCAAAGATCCAACAAGGATTAGCCCTCTACACAATAGCAGCAGAAACTCACCACATGTGACCTGGGAAGCACATGTGACCATCAGCCAGCAAGGCCCCCACCCCCTGGGAGTCTGACAACCAATCAGGATACTCTTTCGTGGCCCCAAGAAATGCAGAGCCAGAGAGAGCATAAAAACCCGAGGATTTACTGTATCTGCCCTTTTCTGTTCAGGAACTCAAGCCATGTGATCCTGTCCACCATTAAACCATCTTTCCAAGCAGTCTCCATGTTTCCAGTGTCTGTTTCCCCACTTGGAGCAGAACCCAGAAGGATGTTTCTTCCAACAGCAGCAAAAGCTTGTATCTTCTAATCTGGTATTTTTGGGGGACATTCATAGGAAATTATAAAGCTCCCTTCAGATTCCTTTGTAATGTAGTATCTTAATATTGGTTATTTCAGCTTGCTATTATTGATTGCCAACCCAAAAAAACAAATCTTTAATTCGTTTTTTAAGTTTCCTCTACAGATCCTGAATTCATACTTTTGGAAGAAAATGGGCTTGCTTCTCCAGCTGGGAGAACAAACGGAAATGCCGCTGCAGTGAAATAGAGAGGTGAAGCCAGCTGCTGGAGAGGAAGTTCCTTTCTTCAAACTCAGAAGTGAAGTGAAACAGCAGTCAATTCTGGGACAACTGACAAAGTGGTCTGGAGAGTCGATGGATTTTTATATGGTTTGGGGGTTTGTGATTTAGACGTCCAGGTTTGTTGCAAAATGGACTTTAATCTGTACAAGAGCGTCTTTTTTAATATTCTAATTGTTGTTGCCTGACTCCTATTGTGGCCGAGAGGTCGTGCCCTGTCCTTGGAGCTAGGTGAGGAATGTAGATTTTAGGTCTCTTTGTCTCTCTGTTTTTAATCTGACCAATTCCAGCCTTCTGTGGAGACTATAGCTGAAACAGGGGTGAAATCCAGCAGGTTCTTACAGGTTTTGGAGAACCGGTAGTGGAAATTTTGAGCAATTCGGAGAACTGGTAGAGGAATTTTTGAGTAGTTCGGAGAACCGGTAAATTCCACCTCTGGCTGGCCCTGGAATGGGGTGGGAATGGGGATTTTGCAGTATCCTTCCCCTGGAGTGGGGTGGGAATGGAGATATTGCAGTATCCTTCTCCTGCCATGCCCACCAAGCCACACCACGCTCACCAAACCATGCCCACAGAACCAGTAGTAAAAAAAATTGGATTTCACCACTGAGCGTTATTTATGAATGGAATAGTTTGTCCTAGTGAATGGAAACTAAATATTCACAGGGCGTGGCCACTTGAGTGGTTTTACTTCAGGGAAGCCTTTTCTCTTTGGGGGTGGGAGATCATTTCTTTGCTAATATGGGGGCTTTCTTATATTAAAAGGAGAGGATTCGCCCTACAATACTCTAAGAGGGTGTTGAATAACATAGCTTCCAACACTTCACTGTGGTCTGTAACAGTCGTTCTCAAATATATCAGGAGCCCTCTACATTCTTGAAAATGAGAGCACCCCAAAGATTTCTGCCTTATGTGGGTTATAGTTATCAATATTTATGTTAGAAATTAAAACTGAATTTTTTAAAAAAGTATTTCTTTATTTGACTTTGCGGATCACACTTTTGAGAACTGCTAGTCTATAACAATGTTACAGTAAGACCAGGGGTGTAGGCCAGAAGACTAGATAGGTACAGAAACCCGGTATCAAGAAGCCACACATGAACCAGAAAAGAAAAAAAACTCTTTTATTTCTGTCCAGAACCATTGGGGCTTCACTCTCAAGGAGCCCAGTAAAAATCGGGCTCAGTTATTTGTACAGAAAGTATCACAAGAAACAAAATGAAATTGCCGATTGATTACAAAGTTACATGACAGTCACATATGTGCAACAAGCAAAGCTATCCCATAACACTTTATTAATTAGTTTTACTTCATTATCATGACCTATCATGACCACTCATGACCACTGGAAGGAATGGAAAGATTAAAATGGAAATTGACAGTGAAGAAACTGAAGACACTGAGATAATTCCTAGGATCACAGATCACTCGAAGTAGTCAATGCAGCCCAGAAATAAAACCATGGGATTGCACTGGGTTGCATAGCAATGATAAATATGAGCCGAATACAGAAAAGCAAGGACATCAGCCTGGTAACCAAATGTAGGTTAGTCCATTCTATTGTGTTCCCTGTAACTGCCTATGGTTGTGAAAGTTGCACCTTAAAAAAGCAAGACAGGAAGAAAATCAACTCAATTTTCTCAATTTTCCTGTTGGACAAGGTAGGAAACATATAAATATGAGTGTCAAAGTGTGTTCACGGTGGCTTACCTCCTCACAAAGTTCACCTCGTTGTGTGGCGCTTGGGTCTTGAACCCAGGCTGTCAGCTCTCCAGGTGACAAGCTCAGCATCTTTAACTGCTGAGCCATCGCGTCCCTCACAGCAACGGTACCCATGCCAAAATTACTTTTGCCATCTTGAATGGCACCACGCACAATGGTAATGACCGGCAACCCAATTTCAAAAGTCGTTCAACGATTCTGCTCTGCAGACTGAAATTCTGAAAGGCATTCATACCTTGAGATTACAGGTAGTCCTCGATTTACAATCATTCATTTAGTGACTGTTCAAAGATACAATGGCACTGAAAGAAGTGACTTGCAAGTTAAAAGACCTTACACTTATGACTGTCCCAGCATCCCCACAGTCACATCAGGGGTGGTTTCTACTTACCTTTACTACTGATTCGCAATGGGGCCGTGCGCAGGCGCTTTGCTTGCGCGCTCTTCTGCACAAGCGCAGAAGCATTTTTATGATGTCAGGATCAGTGGGTGGAGCCTCCCGCTGGTTTTACTACCGGTTCTATAGAACTGGTGCGAAGCAGGGGCAACCCACCACTGAGTCACATGATCAAAATTTGGGCACTTGGCAACTGGCATATGTTTACAACGGTTGCAGCATCCTGGAGTCATGTAATTACTATCTGCAACCTTCCCATCCAGCTTTCGACCAGAAAAGTCAAAAGGGGAAAGCTGGATTTGCTTAACAACTGGGTGATTCACTTAACAACTGCAGCAGTTCACTTAACAACATGGCAAGAAAGGTTTTGTCGAATGAGGTGTGAGCATTGGAAATTCTGGTCCCAATTGTGGTTGTCAAGGACCACCTGTAATATTTTCTGCATCAAAATCAGGCTTTTTTTCAACATGTTTGGTTGCGTGGTGCAAAAATAAACTAGATCAGGAGTGTCAAATTCGATTTCATTGAGGGCCACATCAGGGTTGTGTTTGACCTCGGAGGGCTGGGGTGGGGCCTGGGGTCTGGCTGGGGGGGTCGTGGCCAGGGTGGGAGTAGCTGGGGTGGGAGTGGCTGGGGTGGGAGTGAATGGGACTTGTGTCGGGCGGGGGGCATCTATGGTGGCCAAGTGCTAAGGCGGGACTTCCCTCAGACTCTCCCTCACTCTCATTATACTCCTTCCTTCCTTCCTTCCTTCCTTCTTTTTCTTTTTCCTTTCCTCTTCATTCCAATTTCTTCTTCCTTTCCCTCTTTCCTTCTTTTTTCTTCCTTGCTTTCTTCCCATCTTTTCTTCTTTTTCTTTGTCTTTCCCTTTCTCCTTTCCTGCCCCTTCTTGCATGGTCAAATGCAAAAGGGGAAACATTTCTTCTTTTGTTTTGTTTTTAATTTTGATAGCCCTCTGCTAGCCAAAACATTTTTGGCCTGGACGGCTTCCTGCAGCACTCTGGCAGCCAAAATGGGGTGCAGGGGGTCGATGCTAGTCGAATTAAAATAAGAATGAAACTATCAAGAAAAGTCAGCTTGCTCACAGTTTGGCTCTTTCCTCAAGAAAAGAGTTAGTAGAAATCAACTCCATCGATGAGCAGGAAACAGAAAGCAAATGTGGCAATTTGACTTTAGTTGAAGTATGTGTGTAAAAGCTGGGGAGGAAGATAATGAACTCAGTAATATGACAAACAGCTTCAAGGATGTGGGTGCAAGTTTAGGAAGTAGTCATAAAGACCACAAAGGGGAAAAAAAGAGAAAGAGGAAGAATCCAAGTCAACAACATAGGACTCTAGAAAACTCAGCCAAGCCACTAGTCCCTTTTCTGTGACAAATAGAATTTGTTAAAAAGAACATGTTTAATTAGTTCTCTGTGGAATATGAAACAGAAAGTGGGTGGTGAGGCGGGGATATGATTTTCTGAATAGTTTCAGAAAGAAGAGAAAAAGTGAGTTGAGAAGCAAAAGTCACAACAGGAGGATGCAGAGGAAACCTCCGAGGAAGAAAGAAAAGGAGACTCAGCCCAGCCAAGGGAACTACCCAAGCAAGGGAAAAAACCCTTCTGGCTATAGGAAAAAATGACAATGGGTGCAAATTAGAAGCCTGAGTGGCGTAGGAGGCTAATGCCTCCTACTAAGGCAGCATTTAACATCCAGCTGCCTGCAATTACTGCGAGTTCAATTCTCACCAGGCTCAAGGTCGACTCAGCCTTCCATCCTTTCTAAGGTGGGTAAAATGAGGACCTGGTTTGTGGGGGCAATAAGCTGACTTTGTATAAAATATACAAAAGTATGAAGGCTATTGCTTAACACATTGTAAGCCACCCTGAGTCTCCGGAGAAGGGCGGCATATTAAAAAAAAAACAAAAAAAACTAGAAACTACAGTGAAAGGTTGGGGTTAGAAAAAGGCTGAATGAGAGAAAGGAAAGAAATACTGCGAAGGAGAAGATCATCTTGCCTTGACTAGTTGTAGGCAAAATTCAGATAGATTAAAACTTCCTAAAGTTGTGTCTGTGTAGCCTCAAGGATCCCTTCTGTTGTCCTCTCTGCCACATCAGAAGTCGTCCAGTCCTCTCAACAAGTATCAGTGAAGCAAAATTAGGTGTCAAAATTTACTAAATTAGAAACCTCTTAAACTTGCCAGTGCAAAAAATTATATCATGTGTGTTATTTATTTATTTATTTTATTTTATTTTATTTTATTTTATTTTATTCAATTTATATCCCGCCCTTCTCCAAGTGGACTCAGGGCGGTGCATAGCCAGAACTAAAACACATATCAATACAAAATTTAAAATTATTAAAAGAATTAAATAACTGTGGCCCAAAAATTTAAAACATTAAGGATATTCTCAGCTCATAACCAATGTTGTGGGTGATTGAGCAGAATACCCTGTGAGTATACACATGAAAAGTGATTGGGAGTGGTTGTGAACAATCACAGTTAACATACAAACACACTGAATTGTGTTAGTCTTTTACTTTTTAGAAAAAAGTAAAGCAAAGTCCAAAACAATCCAAGTCATACACAGATAAGGCAATAATAAAGTATCAATTCAGGGATATTCCAAGTACAAAGTCTTCTTATCAGTTGTTGTCATAGACAATAAAACAGTTCTTCTTGAGTTTCAAAACAGGAACAAATTCAATATAAAACATTCAATAAATAGTAGAAAGCAACATATATCTATGATCAGTGATCATGCAGAGAGATCAGGTAGAGAGTTACAGCAAGTAAGCAAGTAAGCAAGTAAAATGGTGTAGTATCCACACAAGCCATGATTCAGACTTTCCTTAAGTACATTGGCTACAGAGCTTAGCCAATCAGGATACAGGATGATGCAATACAGTCTTAAAGCAATATAATACCTTTCTGACTGCAAACATATATTGTTGGTTTATATATTGCCTGACCAACTAGTTAGACAAATAACCATTTCCTAACAATGTGCCCAATTTCACTGCCTTAAGAAATTGACCCTGGAAGAGGGATTTCCTTGCAACTGGAGTTTGTTATCCAGTCCATAGTTTTTTTTTTAAACTGCTTTTCTCATTCTCATTCTGTGACAGTGTGTTCCCCTGCACCTTATATTTGGACTCAGCTCTTTTTGACCACCTCCTTTTTTGAAAAAATGCTTTCCTGATCAATTCTTTTTCTTCTGTGTTCCTAACTATTTTCTTGCCCAACTATTTTTCTGCAGCACTCTGGCAGCCAAAACAGGGTATGTGGGGGGGGCACGCAATGCCCCCCTGTACCCCATTTTGGGCCTGGATGGCCTCCTCCACCATCCTGGCAGCCAAAATGGAGCACAGGGGGATATGCCCCATTTTGGCTAGTAGAGGCACCACAGGCCAGTCCTTTACAATTTCCAGGCTGGCCCCAAGGGTGGGATCTAAGCACCCCGCAGGCTGGATCCGGCCCACGGGCCTTGAGTTTGATACCCCTGAGCTAGATAGTTTGACAGTTTGCAGCCCTGGAGACAGGGCATTTTTTAGAATTTTCATTGACGCTGTTGGTTGTTCTAACACTTACAACTGTACACTGTATATCCCAACAGCCTGTAGAGATTCTCAGTCATCCAGGTCATGGTTGTCCCAAAGGTGCTTTTTCAGGGGGCAACTGGACTTTCTGGTTTTTCTTTGAAGACATTTCACTTCTCATCCAAGAAGCTTCTTCAGCTCTAACAGGATAGTGGGGAATGGAAGGATTTATATTCCTTGCAGACAGCTGGTAATTTGCAATCTTTTAGAGCAGGGATCCTCAAACTTTTCAAACAGGGGGCCAATTCCTCAGTCCCTCAGATTGTTGGGGGGGGGCCAGACCGGCTGAGTGGGTGTGGCTAGGTGGTCATGTGACTGGGTGGGCGTGGCCAATTTAGCACTCCATTTTGCCTTTTTGCCTTTGTCCTTGCTGTACTTGCTCAACCCAAGGAATCTATTTACTTGACACACACACACACACACACAAAAGAGAAAAAGAGTGCAAACTTTCTTGCCACTTGCCTAACTTCATTACAACAGCAGCTTCAGGCTCCTTAAAATAGGCCATTTAAAAAAAGAATAAAACAAACAGTATTTCATTCAAAATAACTCCTGATCATATATTTCAGATGACCTGTGAGTGCCTGCCAGCAGGAGAGACAGCCAGGGAAGGGATAGGAGACCAGCCTCCTTTTTTGAATTATTTGGGATTACAGGGCTAAAGGTCTTTTAAGATAGGAGGAGAATTCACAAACTGATTTGCTTTTTGCCACACTTGTGCATGTGTATACACACACATGAATACCTACCAAAATTGTTCAGCAACCAATTTGGTGGATGTACTTTATATATGGCAAGAATCAAAGCAGTGGGTGAATTCTCCTTCAAGTATTATACTGAAGTTGCATTTGAATTAGTGTTAGCCAACTTCAGCTGATTTTGAAAAAGCTAGGAGACATGTCCCCCGCCCACCCACTTTTAAAGGGCTACTTTAAAAGCAGCCCCTCCCCTACTCAACCCACCTGCCCTGGATCACATGGCAGTGAAAAACACCCTGAAAGGCTGTTATAAAAGTATTTTTAAAGCATTTTAAAGACTTTTAAAGCTACTTGACATGCTGGCAGTTGTTTTTCAAGGCAGCAACAACCCCTCCCCTACTCACTCCACCCTGGATTACATGGCTGCACTGGCGAGATTACCCCTCAGTCAGCTGGCCCTCCCCCCCACCCTTCGGCCTTACCTTCGACAGCAGCATGTGATCAGCAGTGCAGCTCAACCGGTAAAATAACTAACCAAAAGTGCAGCTGGAGTGGATGATCACTGGAAGATAAGGCCAACAGTGGGGTGAGGGGTGGGGCTGAATCCCACCACTCTGTGGGCTGGATACTTTGCATTTGTGGGCTGTATCTGGCCCGCGGGCCGTAGTTTGAGGATGCCTGTTTTAGGGGGTCCTTGAAGCACTTGGAGGTTTATCTGTGTCCTCAGGGTCACCTGAGTAGTGCTCCTGGTTCCTGTAGTCTGCAGTTTTTTCTCTGGAAATCCATTCCTACTCCGACACCATTCAAAGGCTGTTCATCCCAAATTGTATAGCTAAAAGTCTGTAGAGATTCTCAGTCATCCAGGTCCCATGATTGTCCCAAAGGTGCTTTTTCAGGCAGCAACTGGACTTTCTTGTTTTTTCTTTTGAAGATGTTTCACTTCTCATCCAAGAAGCTTCTTCAGCTCTGACTGGATAGTGGGGAATGGAAGGGTTTATATTCCAACGGTGTACATGCCAATATTTATTTATTTATTTAATTAATTAAATTTCTATACCGCCCTTCTCCAAGTAGGACTCAGGGCGGTGCACAGCCTAAGTAAAAACAGAGCATACAAAATTTAAAAACAGTATTAAAATAATTAAATATTTTGGCCGTAAATTAAAACAACCCAATTAAAATCAATTTAAAATTTAGCTCAAGCCAGCCCAGCTAGTTGAAATAAATAGGTTTTCAGGGCCCGACGAAAAATCCGGAGGTCTGTTATTATACGTAGCTCTGGGGGAAGGTTGTTCCAGAGGGTAGGCGCCGTCACAGAGAAGAGACAGACCCCCCCTGGGGGTCGCCAGCCGACATTGTCTGGCGGACGGCACCCTGAGGAGGCCCACTCTGCGAGCGTACTGGCCGGTGGGAGGCTATTGGTGGCAGAAGGTGGTCTCGTAAGTACCCCGGCCCTAAGCCATGGAGCGCTTTAAAGGTGGTCACCAACACCTTGAAGCGCACCCGGAAGACCACCGGGAGCCAGTGCAGCTCGCGCAGGAGAGGTGTCACATGGGAGCGCCTCGTCGCCCCCATAATCCCCCGCGCGGCCGCGTTCTGGACCAGCTGGAACCTCCGGGTACACCCCAGGGGGAGCCCCATGTAGAGACCGTTGCAGTAGTCCAGGCGGGAAGTGACTAGTGCCTGAGTGACTGTGCGTAGAGAGTCCCGATCTAGAAAGGGGCGCAACTGGCCTATCAGGCGAACCTGATAAAAAGCCCCCCTGGCCACGGCCGTCAAATGATCTTCTAAAGACAGCCGTGCGTCCAGGAGGACGCCCAAGTTGCGAGCCCTCTCCGTGGGGGCGTCTTCAGTGCCAAACTGGAAGCGTCAAGCTTGTATATTAATTGTGCTGCAATTCCATTAGAAAGCTCAAAGTCTAAACTGTAAATTTCCAAAGGCAAGTGTTGAACGCCCGGTTAATAGTACAAATATCCCAGATGTTGTTGGAACTGTTTCTTTGCACTTTTATTCAAGCACAGCTTGGCAAAGGAAAATAGTTTTTGGGTATGATGCAATCCACTCAGGCTTGGACACACAGAAGAATATTGTTTGGGGAAGACTGGGAAACTGCCAGTTCCATAATGCATTTTTATTAAAACAACATATCTTCCAGGAAGCAACCTACTCAGTCATTGACCGCTTTTAAGGGATGTAAACAGTATAATTTTTTATTGGCCAAGTGTGATTGGACACACAAGGAATTTGTCTTTGGTGCATATGCTCTCAAGTGTACATAAAAGAAAAGATACATTCATCAAGAATCATAAGATACAACACTTAATGATAGTCATGGGCAGGGCCGGATTTAGATGAAAAGAGGCCCTAGGCTATTCCACTTATGAGGCCCTTTCACCTATAGTGAAAGTATAATTTTAATTTTGCTAACAATTTGAATGTAGGCCCCTCTTGATCTTGAGGCCCTAGGCTGAAGCCTAGTTAGCCTATAGGAAAATCCGGCCCTGGTCATGGGGTACAAATAAGCAATCTGGAAACAATATCAATATAAACCGTAAGGATACAAGCAACAAAATTACAGTCATATAGTCATACAGGAGACGGGTGGTGGGAATGATAAGAAGATTAATAGTAGAGCAGACTTAGTAAATAGTTTTGACAGTGTTGAGGGAATTATTTGTTTGTTTTTACAGCACTTTGTCCTTTATCATTTCTTAAAAAAAAAAACAGTATTTTTAATTACTGCAGTTTAACAGGTTTTACATTTTCGGCCAGGGAGCGTCCTGCCTGCCTTTTGGCCGAAGTGGGGAGTGGGGGAGGGAGAAACCTAGGGGACTTTGAATCCACCAGGGTGTTTTAAACTCACTGCAGGATTGTTGAAAAGCTTCAAGTACCAGCTCTCACCAGTAGGGGCCTCGCGCGCCGTTTCCCCCTCTTCTGTATTCGGTCCAGCAGCAAAGCTAAAAGGAGGCTTCCCGCGCACGACCTTCGCTGCTCCGCCGGCTTTTAACGCGGTCGCTTTTCTTTTCCTATAAAGAACCGCTTTTAGGAGATCGTTCGTGCCCGGCAGCCCAAAAGCAGAGAGAGCTGGAAAGCCCCCGGGCCACTGAGACCGGATGGGAAGAACCGCAATCAAAATATAAGAAACCAAAATGGCACAGGGGAGATCGCCAAGAAGAACGATGCTGCAGCGCTGAAAAAAGAAAAAAAGGGAAACAAAAAAAAGAGGGAGCAAGGTACCATCGTCCGCCCCCCACCCCAGGGCTGAGAGACTCCCCGCAAAGGCTTGGGTGAAGAGCTGAGCCGAGCCGGGAGGGCGGGAAGGCTGGGATGGAGGCGGCCGAATGCGCTACGTGGACCGGGCATGGCTTCAGAGAAGGGAGGGGTAGGGAGGTTTTTAGGCTTTTGGTGCGGACCTCGAAAGAGGGCGGGGCCTCTGTCCCCAATTAAGTGTGGGAGGGGGCGATCGCGGGCCTCCTTCCCCCCCCCCCCCCCCCCGGATCCGGAATCTTTTCTATAAATCGAGCGATTTGGGCAGATTTTGGGTTCTTTGTTTGCTTGTTACACACACACACACACACACACACACACAAAGGGGGGGTTACAGGAGGTCTTTTCTCCCTTTCACTGATGGGAAAGCGATGAGGTAATCTTTTCGGCCTGCCGCTGCAAATGGGGTGGGGGGGGGGAATCCTTTTTTTTCCAAGCTGCGCCTTTCCCTCTTCCCTCCAACATCGTCCTGTTGTTTATTTATTATTTATTTATTTATTAAATTTGTATACCGCCCTACTCCCGAAGGACTCAGGGCGGTGAACAGCCATAAGATAAAACATATAGATACAATATAGATTGTTAACGGAATTAAGCGTTCCAGAGGCGCCGACACAGTGCTCGAGGAAAGGTGGGGGGAGGGGAGGGAGGGAGAAGAAATGGGGCCCGCCTGGGGAAGATCGTAGCCAATCTTTGCCAAGGGATCCTTTCCAGGCTTGGATCGGAGGTGTTTCCAGATGTGGATCCAGCAGCGGCCCTCGCCCGCAAAGGGGGAGGCGGCCCTAGAGATCCGTTGTAGGGGCAGAGACTTAGGGAGGTGAGACTGGTTTGATTAAGCAGAAGAAAGGGCTGAGAGGCAGGATGCAAGCTTGGCACCCTGTCTGATTTTTTTTTTAATTAATACTGCCTTTCTGGGAGCATGTGATCTTTCCTTAAATCTGTTATGATTTCCTTAAGATATCTTGTGAGGTGAGTGAGACCAGCCGGTATATCTTTTAAGTGGTGCAAATGGATCTGAGGGTTGCTTCTCCTGGGTGGGAAACGGTGCTTTAGTCAGTTCACTTGAGCACAGGAGTCTCCTGTCTATGGGGATTCTTCAGTCATTCAGGTCATGGTTGTCCCAAAAGGTGCTTTTTTCAAGAGGCAACTGGACTTTCTTGGTTTCCCATCTCAAGATGGGAGTCTCTTGAATTGCTTCTGAGCTGCCAAGGCACGTGATTGCTTACTGATAGCAAGATTTTTTTTTTTTAAAAAAAAGGAGTGTTGATCCTCCCTCCAATTCATTTTCGTTTTCTCATGAAAATAAGGCTTAGTAACATGGCACCAGGCTTGAAGTTTATTTAGATATCTGTGGCATGTACTAATTTTATTGTGATCCTGACAAGCTTGGGAGGGCAGAGATTTGAAGCTGGGTCCCCTATATACTTGGTTAATTTGTCTCTTTACCTTGGCATTTTGTAGTCCCAGTGTGCCTACCCACTTTTTGCATATCTTAAATGAACTCTCTGCTAAAGGGTTTCACTTTATGAGCAAGAGATGGCTGCTGATAGTTATTGTTGCATTTTAACTATTTTAATTCCTCAAAGTGCTCTGGCACTCCGCCTGATTTTTAATTCTGGATTGCAGCTTTTGCTGATGAAAAGGAAGGTATTTGGACAGATGGTTTAGGTTTCCATGATGGCTTTTTGACAGTGTTTGTAAAGCAGAGTTGCGTATAATCTAATGTTTGGTATTTAGGGCAGATTTTTGTAAGCAAGGAAGCTTTTTGACAGTGTTTGTAAAGCAGAGTTGCGTATAATGTAACCAATCATTCTGGTTCCATGGCACATGAAACTTGTTGTGTTTATTTAATGGCAAAATGACAGCACCTCGGTAGAGACAGACCTGCTTGGTATTTGAATAGGAGACCAGTGGAGAAAGCCATGATTTGTAAGCTAAATGGGGAAGTTGAAAAAAAAAAAACCGTTATCTGGAAGAAGATAATAAAAGTTTCCTAGATGTGCCTGTGAAAAAAGGAGAACTGAAACTGCCAAGGCTGGAAACTAGACCAGATCATGTTCAAAACAGGATGCAACTCCCCTCCATATCTAGGTTTAAAAAAACCCACACCCAAAAACAGCAAGGATTTCATTATTATGTAAAAATGGAAGAAAGAGAGACAAGATTTGAACCCCAGCATGGATTGCTAGATTCTGCAATAGCCGATTAACTTTCTACTAAGGGTGTCTTGTGTTAGTAATAAAATATATTTTCTACCCAAGCCTTAACTTTGACTCCACTACTACTAATTCCAGAATGCTGCTTGAGTTTCTAGAAGAGAGACAATTATTGTTGTGTCCCTGAGTTTAACTCATAGGAGATTACCTGACTACTTGTGAGTTTTAGGCAAGTAAATTGCCATTCTTGCAACAGTGGAGAGACAGACAAACACTAGCAATTTTCTCTCTCATTCCTTCATTTAAACTAAGCTTTTTTCTGAGTAAAGGATTAAGCTTAAAGAACGGTGTCTTTTAGCCTTAAAGTTTCACAGACGCTTGAAGAGCATAAAAATATTCTACATTTGAAGGACTAAAATACAGATAATTTTTTTTCCAGGTGTATGCACCAACTGAACCAGAATTAATGATAAATAAAATCTGAATTAATGGTTAAAGACACACACAAGTCTGTTGCCATCCATTAAAGCCTTTGTAAGAATGGCACCTACAACACAATGCTCTATTTGTATTTTTGTACAGGTAATCCTTGTCTTACAACAGTTCATTTAGTGACCATTCAAAGTTACAATGGCACTGAAAAAAAGTGACTCATGATCGTTTTTCACACGACTGTTGCAGCATCCCCATGGTCACGTGATCAAAATTCAGATGGTTGACAACTGTCTCACATTTGTGACGGTTGTAGTCTCCCAGGGTCATGTGATCCCCTTTTGCAACTTTCTGAAAAGTAAAGTCAATGGGGAGGCCAGATTCACTTAACAGCCGTGTTACTAACTTAACAACTGCAGTGATTCACTTAACAATTGTGGCAAGAAAAGTCATGAAATGGGGCAAAACTCACTTAATAAACTTCTCACTTAGCAACATAAACTTTGGGCTCAATGGTGGTTGTAAGTCGAGGACTATAGTATCTGTGTATGCATGGGTTTATATACTACAGTATGACTTTCCCTTTCCCCAAAACAGATGTATTTGTTTCTAATTAATAATAATAATGCTACTTACTAAAATATTATATTTACAATAAATACAATCTAGTTCCATTCTCTGGTTTTTCTTCAGATCTTAAAAATCTTTTACAAAACATAGAACAAGAAACACGACACAGTATTTTGACTAATTATATAAAAAGATATAAATTTGGGTATTTCAGGGTTAATTCTACTGTTAATCTAGGAAACCATAGGCATAGCCATTTATGGTCAAGTTCTCTATTTTCATAGGAATAATGAGGGGAAGCAAGCAATCTTCTTTAAAATATTCTTAAAAAGAGGTATGAGCCAATGTAGATTTTAACTACTTAAAAGAAGATAAAAATAAGTCCACATAATGACTGATCAACAACTTATTAATTCAATGGCCAGAATCCTTTTAAAATCCATTGTGGTTTTTTTGTTTTGTTTTGTTTTTTGTTTTGGTAAAATGCATTAGTTCCACCAATTTGCTTGATAGCGGGGTTACTGAGTTGATTTTGTAAAGTATAAATCTCAGCTTATTTATGCAAAAATATCCTCTGAGTGTTTAAGAATTATTACCTTCTGGAAATCTAAGGTGATTTTATTTTGAACAAGTGGATAAAGAAAAAAATGTTATTTTTAACTTTTGTAACCCATTTATTTAAAAGCAAGAGATCTGAGCAGAATGCCTTCCCCAAAAGGCTTAACATTAATTATGTATCAGATTTGGCTTTGTATTAAATTTATTCCAAATGGAAGTCTTCATGATAAATATATCTTTATAATGTATTATCTTAACAGTGGCTGTAACAAATGTACAATTAGGAAGACCTTGGTGTACTCAGCATAGATGGAATAGCTAATAAACCATGGCTGGTGCAATGTGTTACAGGACAGGTTTTAGACTTCTTTTGCATGGAACCAGAAATGTTCTTTTATATCCTAAATGTACAGACTGTAATTGGCTTCCATTAACAAATATTTACTTGCAAACCATCGCATGGACTTTGTCCCATGCAAAATAAGAATAAATACCATAGCACAGAAAAAAAAATGTGCAGATAAACTTTAAAGTTTGAGTTAAATGGGGCAAGAAAAAAATCAACGATGAATAAACAAGATAACAAGGCAAAGCATAGGATCAAGTACCAATATAGAGCAGCAAAACAATTACCGTATCCAGTAAGAGTATGGGACATTGAAACTGTAGTCACAGGCACAATTAATTGTTGAGGCCAAGCTTGGAAGAAAAAAGGAATAGGGGTGACATGATAGCAGTAGTCCCAGTGGTGGGATTCAATATTTTTAACAATCGGTTCTGTGGGACAAAGCCACGCGGCTTAGTTGGGGGTGTGGCTTGGTGGTCATGTGACCGGGTGGGCATGGCTAGCTGGTCATGTGACTGGGTGGGCATGGCTGTGTGCATAGGGACTACTCTGAGGGCTGAAAAAAGTCATTTCTGACTGGTCCTCGCACTTATGACCATCCTCACATTTATGCCCATTGCGGCATTCTTAACAACCGTGTCAGTCATTT